ACATATACACACCATTTCGCCCACCTCTCCCCTCTTTTTTTGTCTTACTTCATAGTTGATAGAGATAAGCGAATAAATAGTTCGTGCGTTGTGTTATACTTCGTGTGTGTGTGTCTGTCGAAGAACAAGGTATGGTGAAATGTAATACTTAATAGTTTGTTTTTTTCAAGTCCATTTTTGTTTTGTGGAATGCCGATTAAAATTTATCACGATGCGGATGCTGATGTAAATGTACTATGGAGCAGGGCTCCGCGGGACTACCAAAAAGCCGTCCCGTCCCACCCTATTCTGTCATGTGGGACGCAATACTTTTTTCTCGAAGTATTATTTAAAAAGTCTACCGAATTTACATTTTGAGTATTGTTTAACACACGTGAATATGTGGAAAAACACTTCGGATCTAAAACAAAATCATCGATTCACTGATAATCACCAATATGATTGACAATGACGGAGCGGGAAAGGCAAATCTAGTCCAATGATCAGTCATGCGTTTGCGAGTATTTTCTATAACAACAGGTGGATTTGTTTTTATTTGGAACATCTATTAACCTGAACGCACGCCAATTTTTCGAAGTTCTCAGAAGAAGAGAGAAATATATCGACCAAACAGACATTGGAACCACGAGATAGACGCGATACGGATAGTGACGACAAAATATTAAGAGAACTGAAGCACCAGAAGACGGATTGCGACAAAAAAACCATGGAATTGAATGTCGTGATAGAGCATTTTGTAACTGTTTCACGCTGTTTAATACATCATTTCCGAGAATCAGAATGATCATCCTAGGAACATATGAGGTTGTTACTGTTTAGTTAAACAACTGTCGACTTCCAAGCGCAACAAAACATTAAATAAATAAATAAACAATGAAAAAGAAGAACGACTTTGAAAAGAAAAAAATTTGAACAATAGTCGTCTGAATATCCAGTTTCGTTAAAACACACTAACTAGATCACTTGTAACAACTACTCAGATCTACTTAACATAAAGACATCGCTCAGTTCCGATACAAAGGAAACTGTGCGACAACTCTGCGCCATGAGCAATCGTGTCCCGTCCGATCTCGTCCCGCGGAGCTCTGGTATGGTGTAAAACTGTCGTATTTATTGGATACGGAAATCAAAGGCGAGCACAAGCATTGAATTTTGCGTAATAGTGGTGTCAAGAATATCGTCATTGGGAATATTGTTGATGATCATGCTACACAAGCTCGCGAAGATGGATTTAATCCATTGAGTATTGAAGAAATAGTACGTCAAGGTGATATTCTAATGTTATTAATTTCTGATGCAGATCAACAAACTGTTTGGAATGGAAAAATCCGAACGAATATTAAAATTAATAGTACATTAGTCATTGCAAGTTGATATAATGTTGCCATCAATTTACTTGAGTTGCCAGACGATATGGATGTGGTGCCGGTATACGTGATCGTTATGTTCAAAACATTCCTTATCCATGTTTTATCTCTGTTGAAAAAGATGCCAGTAGTACCGCTATTGGGGCAACACGAGGTGATGGCACCGTTGGTTCGTCGTGTCGTGAAGAGGCTGGTATTGATTTATTTGCTGAACAAGCTCTTTGGTCGGAGATTATGGCGATCTGTCGTGAAGACTATCATGTCTTACATGAAGCAATTTTATTTGATACGTATTTAAGTAAGGAGCCCGCTGAAATTTTTGAAAACGTTGCTGATGAACAATTTGTTAAACAATTAAAATATCATTCCCCAACAAGTCACTATGGTCAATTATCAACGATGAATCGTCAGGATAGAAAGAACATTCATGGAAAAATTTCGATGTGTTCTTAATGAGAATATTTTATCAGAAAATTTTGCGAAAAAATGATCAAATACAAAATGGGCAGCAGAAGAATTAGCAAAAGAATGGAAAGAAGTCGAAAACGCACTAATCGTTCAAGCTAATCAACATGTTCGAGAAATTATCCAACCAGATCGAAAAAAATGAATTTTTTCTTCTCTTTTTTGTCTGGTTGAATAAAAAAAATATTGAATTGATTGATTGATTATATATGTATGCATATATTTTAGATGAATAAACAGAAAAAAGTGACTGAATAAATTCTTCTTGGTATAGGCGTAACTTTTTTTCTCATTGTTTTTGTTCTTCTTATTTTATTCAGCTATAAACTCACTGATTATTACATGTATGTAAAATATTCACTTCGGAGTGAAATTATATTTTTTTATATAGATCGACGTTATATGATCCGACAAAAAAGTTCTCATGTTGGCCAAATTTAATGATTATTTTCGATGTTATTAAGGTAAAATAATTGTTCAGTATTCAAAACACGAAAGTTTTCTTTAAGATCCCAAAGAAGAAAATCGACGAAAACAAAAGTGTGTTATTTGTCCTATTTGGTTCGATTGAGCTATGATTTTGATTTCTAGTTCAAATTGCAACTACATACAAAAGAAACCATGAGTACATTTGATGATTTCAAAACGAATCGATACAACAATTGATGAGGTGAACTATTTTATTTTTCTGTAATTGATTCATTTGCAAAGTTTGTTTTGTAGTTTTTCTGTTTATGTCTTCGATATCATATCTATCCATGGTTATCGTACGTTTCGATATCCGAATTACATGAGAGCAACCACTTTTTTTTATTAGGATTATTATTCAAGATGATAGTGTTGTTTATGAAGCAAAACACGTATTTCGATATCTTTTAACAACAGTCATTGGTCGATTATATAAGGTAGAAGTTGATATTTTAGTTATCGTGCTTTTATGAAAATTAATGCAATACAAAGCATATTTAGTCTTCTCAAATGATTCTCAGTTCTGTTATTCTAAGGTGTGCGATTCTGCGAGAAAGTCGTTTAATCCTACTACATATCAGTAGAAACTCATCTAGTTTTTAATCAAGCTAAAATCTGAACAAGTATCATTGAATAGACACAGAATGATTTTTCTCCTTTCTCAGCTGAGAATTAAAGACCTAAATGTAAGTTTTGATCTGAAAGCTACAGTTCTTTGTTAAAGATCTTATGTCACAGGCGTTCTAAAAAAGTCAACAAGTTGCAGAAAGCTAACAAGTATTGGAGAGAGATCTCTTTCTCGAGATCGCTCTATCTACAGTATATATTCTTGCGATTTTTTTTCTCGTGGATACGTACGGAAAAAGAAGTACGATATTACCGAACAAAAAGAAGATATTCTGTTAGCTTCAACATTCAATACTATGATTTTCTGCATACTATGGAACTGAAAACAATTGCAACAGCAGAATTCAAAACATTTTTTTGAAAACCATCACGGCAGAGGCACGTTTTCAACCGCAATGGACATCTCTGATTCCTTCTTCTGATGAAGAACTTGATAGTACCTATGATCATCTGATTTGTATTGATAAATAATTCTCTAAGATAATCAATCGACATCGTCTTTTCTGCTATTATTTACAGCCAAACAAATCTTTATATTTTGTGAAAAGCCGAATGGATGAGATACTAAGTGATGATGAAAACATTATTGATGTTATTCATGCACTGCAAGGTATAGATCTTAGAATGCAATGAAAGGATTCTTATGAAATTTATTTTAGATATAATTTTTTCAAATGATGTCAAAGAGAAAGGGTAATGTAAAAAATTTAGGTTTTGCCAGATCTGAGTTCAGTATGTGAACGGCTTATCAACGCTTTTACGACATTTCCAAGATCCATTATTGAACAAACAAGTAAGCTGATTGCTAATTTTTTTATATTTAATTCTATGGCATGTTTCTCAGTTATTTTATACGATTCTTGTTGAAATTCTTCTTCAACTTTTTCCCGAACTACAACTAAATTTCAATATTTCAAGAACTAATACTACGATATCGTTCTAAAATAATGTTTTCTTTTACAAACGTTTTATTTCCAACTTTCGTAACAAATATTGACTGATGATTTGCTTTTCTCCATGATATATGATTTCTCTAATAATTTCACTGTTGCTTGTCGTTGTTTTGTTTTACAACTGTGTATAGAAGATTTCTATGAAAAACAAATTTGAATTATCTTTCTAGAAAAGTGTTAAGTTTAGTTGGATGACGCACTTGTTATTTGTCACAAGTTTTGCAGTCTTGTGTTGTGTGACTTATATATGTGCACAACAATGTGAGCAAAGTATGGATCTTGCTCGTTTTGATTGTCATCCAGACGATGGTGCATCTCAAGAGAGATGTGAAGCACGAAAATGTTGTTGGCGATTACCTATGCAACAAGGAAATTTGACAGAAAAGCATCGAACTAATTTTCAAGATATAAGTGTTCCATGGTGTTATTATCCATCGGATTTTCCAACCTATTCAATAGTGTCCAATGAAACAACAGATTTTGGACAGCGAATTCGCATCGTCAAGTCACAAACCACCTTCATGCCAAATGATATTCTGGATTTGACAGTTGATCTTATCTATGAAACACAACAACGATTTCGTATTCGAATCTATGACTCAGTTAATAAAAGATTTGAAGTGCCACTCAATGTGCCCGTGGTAGAAAAGAAAGCTGATATGACTGATTATGAAGTGAAAGTTGCTCAGAAACCATTTGCTATACTAGTTACTCGAAAGTCAACAGGTGTCACATTGTAAGTACTAATAATAATAATCACAATATTGATAGAAGATTTCGGTATTTTCTTTCAATTGCATCATACAAAACCAAAAGTTTGCGGCAATGGGATTTGTATATCGATCGAGTTTTCATTTCTGATCGTACAGAAAAGTTCTGATAGACTATAACTATAGCGTTCTGCAACGTGAAAGACTAGTTCGATCAAAAAGCTGAATATTCGCTAATTTTGCTGGGATTAAACACGGAGTGATCAACATCTTTCGATATGTCGTATAACTACTCTTAAACACAGTATTATGACATATTGCTGAAAAACAATATTTGTCTGACATGACTATAGATAATCGTTTCTTTATTCTGTTTAAAACGAAAAATTGTATGGACACTAATATTTTCAGTTAAATTTTCAATTGAGTTTATACTGTGATTGAGAAGATTGCACTGCTTCATTGAAATGTTGTGCATATCTATTTCTGTCTTTCTTTTGTTTAGATTTGATTCAAGTTTGTCTCCACTGATCTTTGCCGATCAATTCATACAAATTTCTACTCGCTTATCAAGTCCATTGCTTTATGGCTTTGGAGAGCACACACAACCATTGCTAATCAATATAACAAACGAATGGAAAAGATTAACATTTTGGACACGCGATATCGGTGTACGACCGGATACCAATCTTTATGGTTGAGATAGAGACTTTTTTGAATTACTACAATATACAATCGAAAGTCTTCTAGGTGTTCATCCATTTCACATCAATCTTGAACTGAATAAGACTGGTCAGACAAATGTTCATGGACAGTTTATCCTCAATGCAAATGCTATGGATGTAAATCTTCAACCATTGCCTGCTCTAACTTACATCACTATTGGTGGCATCATTGATTTGTATGTGTTCACTGGACCAACAGTTCAGAATGTCATTCAACAATACTGGGATGTCATTGGAGTAAGAAAAGAAGAGGAACTATGTCAGATATTCATGCTAGTTTATTCTCATAGAAGCCGTTAATGCCACCCTATTGGACACTTGGATTTCATCTATGCCGTTGGGGATATGGTACGATTGAAAACCTAACGGAAGTTATGCAAGTAATTTGCGACGCTAGAAATAGTTAGAATAGACTATCTATTCATTGTAGAGAATGCATGACGCTGATTTTCCAGTCGATATCCAATGGACCGATATTGATACAATGGACTCCCATCTTGATTTTACCTACGATAACAAAACATTCCATGGTCTACCTGAACTTATTCGTACAATGAAAGCTGAAGGCAAACATTATGTTAATATCATCGATCCAGGCATTAGTTCAACACAACCACCGGGCACTTATCCACCATACGATGAAGGATTGAAGCAAGGTATTTTCATCACCAAATACAACTCCACTGAACCAATCGTCGGAGAGGTAATAGTGCATGGTCATCTTTATTGGAAATAATGCTTGTCCTTTTTTTTATTTGTAAAGGTTTGGCCTGGTCCCACTGTTTTTCCTGATTTCACAAATCCTAAAACAGTCGAATGGTGGACAAAACTCCTTGGAGCTTATCATGAAATCATTCCAGTTGATGGAATGTGGATTGTAAGTGTTTTGTAATCATCATTTATTCTCTAAATCTATACTCTTTATAGGACATGAATGAACCATCAAACTTTGTTGATGGATCTCATGAAGGATGTACCACTAATTCTTTAGATAATCCACCATTCACTCCTCGTATGTAGTTCAATTTATTTTACTAGTTGATAGAGACATAACTACTGACACTAATAGATGTATACGGCGGAAACATTACTGCTAAAACGTTATGTACGTCTGCTCAACAATACTTGTCATCCCATTACAACTTACATAGTATGTATGGTTATTTTGAAGCAAAAGCAACTAATGCGTAAGTGTTTTTTCTAACTAAACTAACTATGTACATATATATGATGATAATTATGTTATAGTGCTCTTAGAACGATTCTTAAAAAGCGACCATTTGTTTTGTCACGTTCAACATTTGCTGGTTCAGGTCACTACACAACTCATTGGTCTGGTGACAATGCTGCTTCGTTTACAGATCTTTACCAATCAATTCCAAGTATGTTTTAAATATTTTTCTTATGCAAAACAAATCGAACATAGCAGCATGAGTTTTATACATATCTAAATCTTGCTCGTTTCATCAAATTTATTCTACTTTTCATTTGCTTAGCTATTCTTA